AACCTTGCACTACAAAGCCCGCCGAAGTGCCCGTCGAAGTACCAACAACTACTTGCAAATCAAAAAAGAAGCATTACTATAAGAAACCCAAGCACGTCGAAGTAGATACCGTTGTTGTAAAGAAAACAACTTGCACTAAGCCCGTCGAAGTAGATACTGTTGTTGTAAAGAAACCTTGCACTACAAAGCCCGCCGAAGTGCCCGTCGAAGTACCAACAACTACTTGCAAATCAAAAAAGAAGCATTACCATAAGAAACACAAGCCCGTCGAAGTAGTTGAAAACGATACTATTGCTGTAAAGAAATCAACTTGCACTAAGCCCGTCGAAGTAGATACTGTTGTTGTAAAGAAATCAACTTGCACTAAAAAGCCCGGCGAAGTAGAAGCAGAAAATTCAAAAGAGGGAACAAAATATGTAAAGAAATATAAGAAAGTTCCACACTACACGACTGTAGAGTCATATGAAGTAGAGAAATATACTAAATGTATTCCAAAGGTTGTAGCAACTACTATTCCTACTTATAAGGTTAAGAAGTATTACGTAAAAGAATCTTATAAAAAGAAAGTAAATTATGAAGAATCTCCTGAAGTAGAAAGTGATGTTGAAACAGAGAAACCTGAAAAATCGTCTAAAGTAGAAAGCGATGTTGATACAGAGAAACCTGAAAAATCGTCTAAAGTAGAAAGCGATGTTGATACAGAGAAATCTGAAGAATCTCCTGAAGTAGAAAGTGATGTTGAAACAGAGAAATCAAAGAAACACAAGAAAAAGCCCGAGGATGTAGATTCAGATACTGAAGAAACAACTGAAGAAACAACTGAAGAATCAGGTGAAGAATCAGGTGAATCCAAGAAATACAAGAAAGTTGAAGAATCAGGTGAAGAATCAGGTGAATCCAAGAAATACAAGAAAGTTGAAGAATCAGGTGAAGAATATGGTGAATCCAAGAAATACAAGAAATACAAGAAAGAAGATGATGATGAATATGAAAAATATTACCACCACAGACCTTACCCTAAACTTTGCACCACAACATCAACCACGACTACTACAACTTGTACCAAAAAATATCATGTGAAACCTTATCCAAAGTATTTCCCAAAACATCACCCAGAACATCACCCAGAACCTCACCCAGAACACCACCCAGAACACCACCCAGAACCTCACCCAGAACCTCACCCAGAACACCACCCAGAACACCACCCAGAACACCACCCAGAACACCACCCAGAACCCTACCCATATAAGACCTGCACTACCACCACCACTACTACACCTCATGTGTGCACTACCACCCCACCACCACCACCACCGCCCAAACCCACCTGTACGAAGAATTTAATCTAAACTTGCTACGTACAAAGAATTTATAAACATTTTTGAAAATTAATTTCTTTTAAGTTCTTGAAAGATTTAGAACATGGTATTTAACATTTGAAATGGCCATGTGTAAATTTAGATAAAAATGTCACTCAATATGTAACTATATAGTAACGTTTATCTAATTACTTTTTTTTTATTATTA